TGGCATGGGATCATCCATTCAAGCCAATGCACCAAAATTGGTAAAACTCGACTTCCCTCGCTTCAATGGCAATGACGAACCTACTAGTTGGCTATGCAGGGTTGAGCAATTCTTTGAGTTTCAAAGAACACTTGAGGAAGAGAAAGTGGCTTTAGCATCCTTTCATCTAGAGGGAGATGCGCAATTGTGGTACCAACTCCTCAAGCAGGACGAGCATCCTGGGATACAGTTAAATAAAGTGTACACGCAAGGTATGGTCCACGAAATTTCAAGATTTTTTGTTCTATACCTGGCTTTGAGAACGATTGTTTGGTCCAAGGTAAGGACTTGGAGACTACAACAAATGCCTTTTTCTACCTATTTTGAAGTAGGAAGGAATCTAGAGTAGGCAATTATGGGTTGTTAAAGGTAACTCAAAACTAATAAAACCAACACAAGGTTGAGGTAGAGATCGATGCATTTCCTATGAAAGGCCGTCTTTGGAATGTCCTCAGGATTGACACAAATTTGATGATATCCAGATCGGATATCCAACTTTGAGAAGTATTGCGCCCCATATAGTTCATCCAACAGGTCGTCGATAACTGGAATGGGAAATTTGTCTTTAACAGTGAGTTGATTAAGAGCATAGTAATCAACACACATCCGCCATGAGCCATCTCCTTTTTTAACAAGCAAGACCGGGGAAGAGTATGGGCTATTACATGGTCGAGTTACTCCGGTCTTCAACATCTCATTAACAAGGCGTTCAATCTCCACCTTGTTAGGAAACGGTCTATATATGCAGCGGAAAACAAAATCATAATAACAAGGATCGTTTCCATTGAGCCAAAATCAAAGGTACAATTTTACAGTTTATGTTAAAATAGAAATCTGCAAAAATTAATCATGAGTTTAGAAAAATATACGCATGTTTGGAGGCTCCTCCAAATTTGTCAATGAAAGTTTTTGCTACCGACCCAAGTGTAGGATCGAACCTACGTAGTCCACACGAAGACAATCACAAAGAACTAAGGAGGGATTTGCTAGATCCTCCTTAGTTTTAAGATTAAAGAAGAAAAATCAAATGAATTGATTTTGGGCAAAATGAAATACTGCCGTGGGAGAGAGTTTGGGGCTGCTATGTTTTGTTTTCAAAGAGAAAATGAACAATGAATCAATTAACACACATTTTACAAATAACTCTTTTCTTTTATATTGAAAACTTAGTTGCCCTATTCCCATATGGAATACGCTTGGGCTCCAACCCAAACATTCCATGTTATCAAACACACCCAATTAGATATTTTATATTTATTTCATCATTATCTCAATTAAAATCAATTAATATATATTTAATCTATATATTAACATTTAACAATAATGATGATTTAATTAAATATATGAAAACACATATTTAAACGTAATTTCACTTATTTAATTTTTCTAATAAATTAAATAAAGGCTACGACCTTAGCAAATTTAATTACACTGTGAAATTACCAAAATACCCTTTCACCTAAAAAAGACGAAAACACCCTTCTTTCTTCTTGGCTCTTAAATTATCTTCTATGTGCGTGACCCATAGGCTCCTCATCATACCGATAGTGTATAGTATCACGATTAACACCAATTAATCGTCTCACTAATACACAGACCAAGATTGGCCCCTAGCAACGCATCATGGCTACCCCATAAATTCGGATTCAGCAAAGTAGCTACTTGTCAACGATATGGTTACCGTACAATTCGATCCTTTCATAATCCGTTATCTCGATGAGACGAAGGCATAGAAATAGTGTCAACCTTCGGTTACTTTCGATATTATATATTCAGTTTCTAGACCAATGACCTATATTATAAACTGGATAGAGCAACAACTCAATCCCACTGTGGCCACAGTTTTAGTGTCATTGCTATATACTAAATTGCGCCGTGAGATAAATTCTCTCATACCTAGGAGTGATGAATCCTCTGTCTATCCACCATAGTCTTGATACACTCCTTGATGTAGCCAATCACCACTGTATTGACAGCTCTGAATAGAACTGCGTTAGGCTAGTGTCAAACTACACCAATCGGTGCACAAGGCGCTCCGGTGATCTCAAGTCTAAGGATCACATGCACCACCATTCGTTAGAGGATTTGTTCCATAGACACTGGGGTTACCATCCATATGGAATCCTCTGGTGGGTCAGTCCAGTGAACTTGCTGTGGTGTAATCGCCTACAACAAACACCCATGTGTTGCACCAGGTTGTCACCAAACAACCTTGACAAGTGAGATCAGTCACTGCCTTTCGACAGGGTCGTTCAACACTATGATAGCCTTACCGTATTATCTGTGCCCTTAGTTCAGAATAATACTGGGGCTACGGACGTTTCTAGAATGGCCACCATATGTGCTCATAGGGTTCTCACTATCAAGATTTGAAACACTTGATACCCTCGTCACGGCTCTACCATTCTAAGGACATATATCAATACATATTGCAATAATAATGATTTACGCGATATAAAATAAAATGTCTTTTATTAATGAACATTATTACAAAGAGTCAATTCTACAATAATTGATTAGCTCTAGAGCATCTACTCTAACAATCCTTCTGAAAATGTGGATATCTATATGGACGAACGCTGACTAGATTTCTGCATGAAACCAGAGGTATTTTGTGGTCATGTGTGCATGAGGGAGGCAATTCCTTTGGTTCTTCAAATATATCTTTGTGACCCAGAGTAAATAGCTTGCAACGAAAACATATTTGAAGAACCAAAGGAATTGCCTTTTAGCACTTGTGACCTAGAGTAAATTTTTCATTGCAACGAAAACATAGGCCCTTGTTTCTTCTTTCTTGCAACTCTTCCGGCGTCATGTGTTTAACAAACATAGGGGAGCGGTTGTTAAGTATTGCTGGGCTGGAAGCTCCCTTGTGCACTTCTGTTGTTGTTTTCCTTTGGGCATTGTTCATAGTCTCATACAACCTGGCCAATCCAATTGCACTTGCCAAACTTGTGGGATTGCACGCCTTAACATCTGCTTGTAGATTTACTTTTAGACCGCTCACAAAATAGTTGATTTGTTGTGAGATTGATACAGTCTCAGCTCGTGATAGTAACCTTTCAAATTGGGTTTGATTCTCACAAACCCCTCCAGCCTGGCACAACTTAATGAGGTCAGCAAAAAAATCTTGAAATTTCATAGGACCATACCTCACATGTACACTTTCTTTAAATGTATCCCAAGATAGGAGCTACTTGTCCTGCTTGAGGAGTTGGTACCACAACTACGCATCTCCCTCTAGGAGAAAGAATGCTAAAGCTGCTTTCTCTTCCTCAAGTGTTCTTTGAAACTCAAAGAATTACTCAGCCCTGCATAGCCAACTAGTGGGGTCTTCATTGCCATTGAAGCGAGGGAAGTTGAGTTTTACCAATTTTGGTGCATTGGGTTGAATGGATGATCCCATGCCACTGTTGCCATTGTTTCTTATTCCAGAACCACGGACTAGTGATTGAGAGCTCCCCTCATGGATCTTTGGTGGAGTAGAAAGATTGTCAATGCGATTGCTAAGTGCCGCAAACAATTCATTCATATGTTCAGTGACTTTCTCTAATAGCTTCTCTTGACCGGATGAAACTTTCCCTACTTCAAGGTCCAATCTTTCCATTCGTTGCTCCATAACCAGCTCTAATACCAATTTGTTATGTACCTGGCTTTGAGGACGAGTGTTTAGTCCAAGGTAAGGTCTTGGAGACTGCAGCAAATGCCTTTTTCTACCTATTTTGAAGTAGGAAGGAATATAGAATAGGCAATTATGGGTTGTTAAAGGTAACTCAAAAACCCATAATGTCTTTGATAAGATTAATTGAATTAATCATTAATGTATATTGATATTCGATGTGATAAGATAAGCATAAATTTACTCCCCCAACTTTTCATTGCCAAATTGTTGTTGTATAATTGCTTATTTAATGTAAGTGTTCCATTATCACCTAAAGTTTCATTAATGATTATTAATGGGTAATTTATTAGATATATTGGGTATATATGTGTTATATTAATACAATGCATATTTGTTATGTTTGATAACATGTGATGCCTTTTTTAAGCATGTAATATGCTTGCATGATTTATGCATATTAATTGTGCCATTGTTTATAGTTAAGTTTTAATATTTATATGAAGTGTTGAAACTTAATTTTATGGCATAACATTTAGTTTTAGGCTTGTAGTTTGGGGTTTATGTTTTATATTTAGTTGATACATATGGTGGATATGTATAGGGTAGATATTAACACATTAACCTAAAACAAAACCTAATCTTTAAATCTTCCCTAATTAAAATACTAAGTCTAAGCCTTCCATTATAAGTCAATTAATTCTTTGCCATAGAATTAGAGATCCCAAGATTTATATTATGTGAGGGATGCTAATTAATGACATAGAATTGATTGTCTTAGTTCTTGGATAGAAATTCTCATTGTACCCAAGATTTCTAATATGTGAGGGTATAATAGGAATTCTATTTTAAGAAAGCATAATGGGTCGGATTTAACTAGTCTAGGGTACCAAGATTTCTATTATGTGAGGTATCTGAAACTAGAGGCAAGGAGATGAATCATAGCTTATATGGTGATATAAAAGGAAATAGTTTCCTACTTATTGAATTTAATGGACCAAGATTTCTATTATGTGAGGTTTATTAAATTTGATTCCCCAGTAGAAATTTTAATCTAGCAAAATTTCTGAAACTTTATCCAGGGAAATATACGATTTGAATAAAATAATGGGAGCTAATTAGATTAGCTTAATAAAAGATATATATGACAAAACACTCATAATTTTTAATTTCCTTGCAGCATCTCTCATAAAATATTAAACCGTAAAAGATGAATAATCTATTGTTGAAAATCTTGGATGAGAACAACAAGTTAGTAAACCGTAGTAATTTCAATGATTGGCTAAGGAAACTGACAATAATATTGAATTCAGAAAACATAGCCTATGTTTTAGAAACGCCCATGCCTGAACCTCCTCCTTTTGATGCTCCTTCTGATGAGCATAATGAATATAAAAAATGGAAGGAAGATGAACTTAAAGCTCTCTCTTGTATGATAGCATCGATGAGTGACGAGCTCCAGAGAAAGTGTGAAGAGATGAAAAGTGCTAATGAAATTTACCATGTGTTACAAGAGTTGTACTGTGAAAATTCAAGGATAAGACAATATGAATTAAGTTCAACTTTATTTGGAATGAAGTTGAAAGAGGGAGTGTCACAAGAAGAACATGTCATGAAAATAATTAATATTCTGGGGCAATTACATGCCATGAAAATTGAAATGCCAGACACCCTCAAGGTGGATTTAGTTCTTCAATCTCTACCTTCAAGTTTCACACCTTTCATCAACAATTATCATCTCAATAGGATTGAGAGAAAACTTCCTGATTTGTTGAATGAGATTCAACAGTTTTATGATTATGAAAGAAAAGGAAAAAGGCAGGAGGTTGTTAATATGGTTTCTTCCAGTAAGACAAAGAAGAAAAAGCCAATGAAATTCCAAAAGAAATTGGGAACAAAACCCAGGGGAGGGGTTTAGGAAAAAGGTTGCACCTCAAGCCAATAAATCTAAATAAAATGTCCAATAGTTTTGGTGCAAAGAAAAAGGGCACTGGAAGAGGAATTGTCCTCTCTATCTAGAAAGTCTTAAGAAGACTAAAGCTCTTCTCATTGAGAAGATTGGATCAGGTATCTCACAATGCTATGTCATTGAATTTGAATTAAGTGTTAGTTCAAATAATTCATCCTGGATATTAGATTCAGTTGCTACTTCACACATTTGTGTTTGTTTGCAGGATCTGCAGAATAGTTATGCTCTGACAAAAAATCAAGCCATGTTAAGAATGGCGAATGGAGCAATTGTTGTTGCCAAAGCCATGGGAACATGCAGTTTGATGCTTCCATTAAGACATCTTTTGTATTTGTACAATGTCCTGTATTTTTCTAAAGCCACCAGAAAAATAATTTTTGTTTCTATATTATGTAAATATGGTTACAGTGTATAGTTCAATAGAAATTAATGTTTAGTTTATTTTGGAAATAAACTTGTTAGCAAAGCTATCAATACAAATGGTTTGTATGTGCTAGAATTAAATGGCCATAGCATAATGAATTCCATAACAAATAAATGAACTCGAAATGAAATTAATCATAAATTACTTTGGCATCATAGATTAGGTCATGTAGGAGACAAAAGAGTAATCCAGTTAGGAGAAAGTAGACTTTTAAGTTCATTGGGTTCAGAACCCTATCCGGCCTATGAATCTTGTCTTCAAGGAAAAACGACTAAGTCACCCTTTAAGAGTAAAAGGGAAAGGGCCAAAGAATTACTGGAATTAATACATACAAATGTATATGGACCATTTAAGGAAATGGCCAGAGGAGGTTTTCATTACTTTATTACCTATACTGATGATTATTCAAGGTATGTGTATTTGTATTTAATGAAATACAAATCAGAATCTTTTGAAAAGTTCAAAGAATTCAAGAATGAAGTAGAGAAACAAACTGGAAAAATTATAAATTGATTGTCGGAAGAAGAGTATAATGGATTTGATAGTGTTTGATCTGCTCAATTTTGATGTTATTTTGGGCATGGATTTCCTGGGGAGATTTGGAGTAGAAATTGATTATCGGAAGAAGAGTATAATGGATTTGATAGTGTTTGATCTGCTCAATTTTGATGTTATTTTAGGCATGGATTTCCTGGGGAGATTTGGAGTAGAAATTGATTGTCGAAAGAAGAAAGCAAGATTTAATTTTGATGATGGAGATAAGTTTAATTTTGGCAAGGGTCACCAGCTTAGTATGTTAATTAGCAGTGTAAAGGCCAGAAAGATGCTAAGAAAATGGTGCTCAGGGTATATTGCTCATGTAGTACACAGTAGTGATGTCCCACAACCAGAGATTCAGAATGTGCCAGTAGTCTGGGAGTTTTTAGATGTATTTCCAAAAGATTTACCGGGTTTACCTCCGGAAAGAGAAGTAGAATTCAGTATTAAACTAGCACCAGGGACAGCACCAATTTCCAAAGACCCTTACCAGATGGCCTCAGTTGAGCTTCAGGAATTGAAAAAGTAGCTTTAGGAACTCTTAGACAAGGGTTTTATTTGACCTAGCCATTCTCCTTGGGGTGCTCCAATTTTATTTATGAAGAAGAAATATGGATCTCTACGGATGTGTATAGATTACAGAGAGTTAAATAAAGTGACAGTGAAGAATAAATACCCGTTACCTCGCATAGATGATTTGTTTGATCAGTTGAAAAGAGCAGCCATATTTTCAAAGATTGATTTGAGGTCGGGTTATCACCAAGTAAGGGTTGCAGAGCAAGATATTGCCAAGACTTCTTGTCGAACCAAATATGGGCATTATGAGTTTGTGGTGATACTTTTTGGGTTAACCAATGCTCCAGCATTCTTTGTGGACTTAATGAACCGGGTGTTTCAGGATTGTCTTGATCGATTCATAATGGTGTTTATTGATGATATCCTGATTTATTCTAAGACAGAAGAGGAGCATGAAGAACACCTAAGATTTGTGCTACAGCGATTGTGAGATAAGAAGTTGTTTGCCAAATTTTCTAAGTATGAGTTTTGGCTAGATCAAGTTATCTTTCTAAGCCATATCGTCTCAAAGAAGGGTATATCAGTAGATCCAAGTAAGGTAAAAGCGATTTTGGAATGGCAACAGCCGAAGACGGTAAAGGAAGTTAGAAGTTTCTTGGGGCTAGTAGGCTACTATAAGCTGTTTGTAGCAGGGTTTGCTCAGTTGGCTAAGCCACTTATAGCTCTCACCAAATAGAGAACTCCTTTCATATGGTCGAATGCTTGTGAAGAAAGTTTTCAAGAGTTAAAAAGAAGATTGACCACAGCTCCTATTCTTGTGTTACCACAGGAGGGTGTAGAATATGACATTTATACAGATGCCTCATTTCAGGGACTTTGTGCAGTATTGATGCAGTTGGGTAGAGTAATAGCCTATGCTTCTCGTTAGTTAAAAGAGTATGAGATGAGATACCCTACGCATGACTTAGAGTTGGCCGTTGTAGTTTTTGCACTGAAAATATGGAGGCATTATTTGTATGGAGCAAAAAGTAACATTTATACGGATCATAAGAGCTTAAAGTACTTCTTCACCCAAAGAGAGTTGAATATGAGGCATATGAGATGGTTAGAGCTGGTAAAGGACTATGATTCTGAAATTAAGTATCAACCTGGAAAGGCCAATGTAGTAGATGATACCTTGAGTAGAAAGGCCTACTTGTCTCAACTCATAAGACAGAAAGAGTTGTTGGGCGAGTTGATCAAAGACCAAATAAAGGTGATACCGGGAAGTCTTGCCAGGTTAGACATTCAGCCTACTTTGCTGGAAGAGATTAAAGAAAAACAAGTTGTTGATGAGTGGTGTCATAAAATAAGTCAGCAAGTGATTAAGGGTAAGATATCAGAATTCCACCTATTAGATGGTGTCCTCCGTTTTTGAAATCATATATGCATTCCCCAAGATGTTGAGTTGAAAAGAAAGATTCTTGCGGAGGCTCATGATACACCATATACTATTCATCCTGAAGGAACCAAGATTTAAAGAAAAGTTATTGGTGGCCATGTATGAAGAGAGATATTGGAGATTATGTGACTAAGTGTTTGGTTTGTCAATAGGTGAAAGCATAACACCAAAGACCATCAGGTTTGCTTCAACCACTCAGCATTCCTGAATAGAAATGGGAAAGTATATCCATGGATTTTATCACAGGCCTTCCAAGAGTTCAAAAGGGGTATAATGCAATATGGGTGATAATAGACAGATTAACGAAATCAACCCATTTTCTTCCAGTAAAGGATAGCACTACCTCAGATCAGTTGGCCCAGATCTATGTCAGGGAGATAGTTAGACTCCATGGGGTGCCCAAGACCATAGTATAAGATAGAGATTCCATATTTGTTTCAGCTTTTTGGACTAGTCTATAGAGAAACTTGGGTACTAGATTGGCATTTAGTACAGCATACCATCCTCAGACAGATGGCCAGACTGAGAGAACAAATCAGATACTTAAGGATATGTTGAGGGCATGCTATATGGATTATAGAATGACTTGGCATGAGATGTTACCTTTGGTGGAGTTTGCCTATAATAACAGCTATCAGTTTACAATTAAGATGACTTCTTATGAAGCCTTGTATGGTAGGCAATGTAAATCTTCATTGCATTAGGATGAGGTATGTAACGCCCACATCGAGGTACGTAGTTTTACTTGTGCCCTAATACCAGTAGTTGAATTTTGTTAAAGTTATCTTGAAAAAATGTGAAGAAAACCCCTTAAAATTTCATTAGGGGTAAAATGGTATTTTCACTCATAATTAGTTGAAAAAGTGGGGGGTGAAAAGAGATAGAATTTCATGGAGAATGTAATAAAAACAAGGGCATTTTAGTAATTGACTAAGAGACATAGATGGAATTTCATAGAAAGTGCAAGGGCAAAATGGGAAACTATAAATAATATTATGTTATATCAAGAGTTGAAGAATGAAACCCTAGCCATTCTTCCTCCACTTTCATGCCCTTCGTCCCCAAATTCTCTCAATTTCTTCAATTCTTTTTCAAGGGAAATTCATAGATTTTGGGTTATTTTTAGTAGAATTTCAATCTCAAGCATCCTTAGGTAAGATCCTCGCATACGAAGTGAGTTTTAATTTTTAAAGTGTTGAATTTTGATGATTTGTGTTCATAGGATTTAAGAGAAAGAGAGTTTGATCAAAGAAGAGTATTAAAGTGTTGGATTGCTCACATCTAAGGTAAGTAAATCCTACCCTAGTTATGATTGAAGCAAAATTGTGAAGAGAATTTCTTTTATTTATATATGTGTTTTATATGAAGAATTGTTGATGGATTTGATGTTGAATGATGGTTAGAACCTATCCATGAGAAGTAGTATTTGTGTATTTGATATTTGATGAGAGTTTGGATGAATTATGGAAGAATTGGAGTATAAATTATGGAGTGTGCAATTTGGACAGGTTTGGCATTAATTTTGGAAGATTTTGTTCTAAATTTTGGAGGCTTAGAAAAGAAGTAGAAGTGTAGCCAATTTAGAGTTTAGATGTGTACATAAGTTGTTTGATGAAATGTCAAAGAGAAGTGCATGTATGAGTATGGTTATGTGTTATTTTGAGATGAGCTAGTAGATGGTAGAGAAATGACATGTTTGCATTCCATATTGCATTATTGCATCTAAACATGTGAATTTAGAAAGAATTATAAACATGAACTCATCTACATGCATACATACTCATAAGAGCATGAAAAAACATTAAAGAACATTAAAGAGTAAATAGAAAGAAATGAGAATATTAAAGAAATTCAAATCTGAATTTTTATTTAAAGAAGTGTAAAAAAATAAAAGAAGAGAAGGTTGTTGCGATGGGGAACCCGTGAGTGACATAGCCCCGCATGCATGCCGCCTTTAGTGAGCGGCCTTAGAATTCAGAAAGAAGAATTGTACAGTCTATTAGAAGTGCATGTGGCTGAGGACTGTACCCA